GTGGAAAAAGTTGCGTACCTACCACAGCACTCTACTGGATGAAACTACTTGACCCAAAACTTTCTTAAAGCATCTGAAAAGGGAAATTCATGGAAAAGGGCATTACCTTTGAAACACTATAAGCGGCAAAAATACACGTGATCAATGTAGGCAAGAAAAACGGACATTGAACCTTCAATTGAACACAATTTCGCCACAAAGCAATGGTGGTGATAAATGGAGAGAACGCCGAAATGGTTGCGCCGTGAACAGTGCAACCTATCAGGAACGGCCAAGTGAAAAGATAGTCCAGTTTGATTGTTAAATTAAAGGATCAACTAGACGCTCATCACACTATAACGTCAACTAATTACAAACAAAGACCAACATGCCAAATTAAGGCTTCGGAACCATCGACTAATCAGAGAGCCAATGGCCGCCCTTCCGCGTAGCGCTTCCGCACCTAATTGGACAGCTTGTTTTCCATGCCCTTTGTTGCTCTTAATATTGTCACTGTTACTTAATGATACTATAAGTTAAACTCTTCAACAGTACCATTGAGTCAGCAATTTATAAGAATAAAACGATCCTTCAACCGAGAAGCAAGGCCACTTCATTGAGGGATATCTGAGTCTAATCGTGGGGTCAAAAAGCAAAATATTAACGCATTCAATAATGCCTTGTATATTTGTTATCGAACATTTGACCACTTTTTGTACAGGTCTTCAGAACCAAATGGTTCTCATCGTTTAGTAAACATAATTCAATCAACTTACCTATACGGGATCACAAGTCAGTGTCTGGTCAAGCTTCACAGGACAGAATTTCTGAGTAAAGTGCTATGGATCCATCGGGTAATTCATTCAGGTAATCATTATGATCGCCAAAACTTACAACTGTAAGCTGAAAGTCAGTGTATTCAGGGTGTAACCAGTATATAGGAAGCTCCAAAGGTTCGAGGAAATACTGATTGGGGACAAATCCTGTCGCAGCAAATGACACGGGATAAACCGAGCTCATTCGGGACCTAATGCGATTGTGACTGGCCAGAAATGCTAACGCTCAAAGGCTGCGCCATTAGCGTCATGGCCATTTACGAGAACAATCAATAGCCACATAAATCATGTCCATTCAAAATGCTGAAGAAATCAACACAACGCAAAGAGAACGTCAAAACATTACTGTTTTGCGTAAGCGTTACCTAGAAGCTCACAAAAGTAAAGGTAACAGTAAGATGGAAGCTGTTTAGAATTGGAAAGATGCCAAGGGAAACCGATAAGCCTCTGTAAACAGTTACGATGGAGGAAATGAAGCCGTCGTTCGTTTAAATGCTGTGTTTTTCCTCCCAGACATGACTAATCATCGTTTTCGATGAGGATGAGTAATGTAAGGATTTCGTGGCTTGATATCATGCATGTGATTTGTTCTATAAATGAATCTCGGGAATTTGCTCATAATATTGATTTATTGATGATAAAACACAATCTATTGATCATGGTGAAGTAGAGGAGCTCATAAGTTGAATAATACAAGTATTGGAAACTGGGCGACGTTTGGACAACTTATTTCTTACAAAGAACGAAACTAACCGCAAACTATAATCACAAATAAGTGGGCTAAGTATAAAAAGTGGTCTCGCTGCTTGCCTAAATGGAACCGAGTTCGATTTAATGAAAACTGTCACTTTGTGAACCGTTACGAAATCAGCAATCCCATAGAACAGGTGACGTCTAGCTGTTGTTTCAGTGTTATAGCACAAGTGAGTAATGAGAACTCGTCCATTTATGATGCGAAATTATTAGATTTAGAAATCATCGATACATGGGACAAAATTTCGGAAATAGGCCATTCTGTCGACTAGTATAGCGCGAGAGTTATGGCTTAAAACTAAAACCTTGGTCTTACCGAGATCACAATTCTTAGGCTATAACCGTGTCCACTATTCTTATTGGCGATTATTTGCGATTAAAACTTCAATCACTGATGGTGTTTACTTATTTCCCAGTCGTGATTTTGCCTATTTCCATGTTTTATATGACAAAGGTCAACTGAATTCAGCGGTGAGTATAATCATTCTAGGATATGTTCTAGTTGATATAGGGAATTGAAGAGATTATTACTGGTAAAGCTAAATCTCAGGCAAGAGTTGCTCTGATGACGCATATTTAGCCGAAGAATGCTCGGAGAAAAGGCGCTCAACAGCCAACGGGACGAGTCATCATGCTCATCGATTGGTTCCGACGCGAATGCCTCAACGTGTTGTTCCTCCGCATAAAATGTTCTAGACCGCTAGATCGATATGCTGATTCACCTAAATACAGAACAAAACCGAGATTGTACACACTCCGCCTATTCGAAATGAAGGTGGGAGGGATGTCATCAGTTCCTTACTACCGTCCAGCTCCCTTTGTTAGACCTGAGCAAGTGCTTGCGTGAATTTTCAAGTTGAGCAAAGCTTTTTGTTTACGTTTTGTCACGTTTTTCTATCTTTTGCGTTCAAGTGAATGTTCTTCTGTTGATTTCGCTGACAACAGCCAGGTCTGGCTACTGTTTAAAGGGACACGTTGGACCCCGACTTTCCCGTTTTTGGTGACGGTCGTGCCATTACCTTATCGTCCGTTTTTTTGCCTCTAATTAGCATTTCGTGTTACTATCATTAATTTGTGTGGTCTCTATAAGAATGAGAGAATTCTAGCTCTTGGTTAGAGAGCTCTATTCGTAAAAGTAAGTGGGAATCTTATAAATTTTTCATAGTTGTGCGCTCGTGCTCAGGCGTTCATGTAATTTAGGTGTCGCTATTAAACTTTTCTTGAGTTTTCATTTTTATTTCCATGGATCGTCAGTTTATCTAATCATTCGTCATAAGCATTGATCTTGAAACAGTCCTCATTTCAAAAATGCAGTTGCCTACTGTATTCCTAGGATTTTGAAAAAGGCACGTGTTATTGTGCAGATTTGCGTCCTCACAAAGAGGCGGGTCTGCTTTGTTGTTACATTTGCGCTCAACCCGCTCTTATTGATTCACCGATTACAATAATTTAGAATTTTTTGATGTAATTATATATGAGCCTATCGTTTTTGGTAAGCTACGGCTGCAGTTTTGTAGGCAATTCTTCTCTCCTCATTCTCTTACACTCTTAACCCATCTCTTATAAACAAATTCTTTGTGTTCCGTTTCTGTCCGACAAAATACTGGCTAATCAGGTGTAATATTACTGGTAAGTTTTCCAGGGTCATTTGTATCGAATCTCTTGCCGCCCTTCACCATGTGATGTTTGACGATCTGGCCGAAGGGCAGGGACGCAGAGTAAGCAGCAGGCATGAGTCTGCATATCGCTCGCTCATTTTGTGAACTTCATGCAGTTCTAAGGGTCTAGTGTTCCGATGGGATTCCATCGAAATCAAGCCCAACCCCTTCATTACCATTACAATTCACTGGCAGATATCCTGAAAGGGGTACTGCTGTTTTTTGGAAGCAGGCTCGAAGACCTCGCCGTCTGAGCACGGAACATTCTTCCTATTTTACGGCTCTGTAACAAGTGACTCTTCTTCTTACAGTTTAGTAAATTTCGCACCTTCATGGCATAGCCTAGTTCTTTTTGAATTTATCTCGTGACTCTGACACATGGGCTCTGCCTGCNNNNGCTCCCCGTGTATTTGAATGTGTATTGCGAAATGCGAGTTTCATTACGTCTGGAACTCGCATACAGTTGAAGGGGGACGGGAAATCAGTGGACCAATCGTGGTCATTCCATTACGGACGAAGCTTCGAAACCTTATTGGTCGTCTTCTCGGTCGAATGTCATTTCAGCATAAACGCAACCTTTTTAGGAATTGTCTACATATTCTATAATTAACTTTTTTCCATGTTTTTATCTCGAAATCTCTCGTCGTAAAGTATAAACTGCTTTAATTGTTTATTCGATCTTTCGCGTTGTTAGAACATGTTGATATTTTCTTTTATTGTGCTTTGTTCAGAAAATGAACCCGACCGATTCGTCTCGCTTAACGCAGTATAAAAATAAAGGCAAGGATACAATCCTGAAAAATAGCCGAGTCGATGAGGTACGTATTTTTGTTTTTGTTCTAAAGACGCCTTTTGTAAACGAGGTTTTGTCTGTTCTTTTCTTTTCCTAAACACCCATGCAGTTGCGGAAGCGATGTTAGTTCATTGTTTCATATTTATCCACAAAAGAACATTAGGAGATGTAGTGCCAGGAACTTGAAACACGAGTAGATTACGAGTTACGTACTATTTTTGTCTCCATTCAGATTAGGGTACATGAGTTGTTTTCATGAATCTAAAAGTTTGCTGCTGTTTTGGGGGTTTGCCATGAAGTTGATTAAAATTCTGAAATGCTTCTCAATGACGTAAAACATAAAGGGCCATTGATGTATGTGATATATTTCAGGCTGTTACGATTCGAAAAGACAAAAGGGAAGATCTGCTTTCGAAGCGTCGCAACATCAATGTTCCGTGAGTTTTTTTTTTCATGCCAACAAACTCGTGGTCTGTGAATCATTAACTTTGAGGTTACTTTTATTCATTTCAGGGATGAGAACTATGCGTGGACATCAACTCAGAAGGGTCCATTTGACAGCAACCTGCTACATCAGATTGTAATGATGGCGCGGAGTGACGACCCAGCTATCAAACTTGGAGCCGTTCAACAGGTACTCATTCTTTGCATTACCCTGTGGGGATTTTCTCCTGAGTAATACTTTTTTAGGCCCGCAAAATGTTGTCATCTGACCGGAACCCACCCATTGATGACCTCATCTCAAGCGACATCCTACCGATTCTCGTCAATTGCCTTGTCTCAGACGAGTAATTTTGCCTTTCTTCGTATCATAGTGATTTTCTGAGAAACATCATTCGGGTTGATATAAAATAAATATAATTTTAGCGTGAATCTGCAGTTTGAGGCGGCCTGGGCGCTCACCAACATCGCATCGGGTACCTCTGAACAAACGCAGGCTGTTGTGAGTTTGTAATTTGCCTTCTGTTTCCTTTTTTGAATATGATAGATTGAAAATGAGTACTTGTTAGGTAAACGCCGGCGCTGTTCCATTGTTTCTCGAGTTATTGTCAAGCGGTAATATGAACGTGTGTGAGCAAGCAGTATGGGCTCTTGGTAACATTATCGGTTAGTTTACTGCAATTTTATGTAATCTTTTGTGAACAGTACTCTGTTCTCGACAAGTATTACGGCAAATACTTGTCTAGTTTTTGTGGTGATTATTAGTAAGAGATGACGGCCTCCTAAATATCATGCTGCCGTAAATGGGGCTCAAGCTGATGTCATTGAGATGTGTTTTGAAAATCGGATTAGAAAGCTTTTAAATCTTGGTATGCTTACAGGGGAGCCGTGGAGTTGAAGGCTTATTCCAGATAAAGCCCTTCATAAGCCACTCCTCATTCAGTGGTCTCATCATAGAACGGATCACACTATTTTTACGTTTTTTTGTGCCTGGTTACATATTTGTAGGGGTCATTAGGTTCATTGGTGAGGTTTGGCTTTTTAAAAATAAAATACTGTAATGGATTTCAATGAAGTGGACAACTAAATAATAATAAAAACGAGAAAAGGGCGAGTAATGAGGGAGGGAAGTATGCACAGGGGTGTTGAAGAGTTTGAGCACTGAATACTGACTGGTAATCATAAAGGTACAACTGATTGATTGTATTTCTGAGCTTCTTTTCCGCTTTCAGGAGACGGGCCCCATTTCCGAGACTACTGTCTTGGACTTGGTATTCTACCGTTGCTTCTCAATTTCATCACCCCTGAAATTCCTCTGGGTTTCCTGCGAAACGTTACTTGGGTCATTGTGAGTTATTCAGCCGTTTCATTTCTTTTTACTCTCTATGATTTTACTGTAACAAGTGGAGGTGGTTTAGGTCAATTTATGCCGATCAAAAGACCCTCCGCCCACACCAGAGATTGTGAAAACCATTTTACCGGCTCTGGTTCTGTTGATTCACCATGACGTAAGTCTCTCTTCGTCGGCAACTATTTTCACATCAATCGAGTGCAACTTTTTCAGGATCCTAATATCCTTGTTGACACCGTATGGGCGCTATCATATCTTACCGACGGTGGAAACGAGCAGATTCAGATGGTGATTGATAGCGGGGTTAGTGTACACGTTTCTCCTTAGTACTAAAATGCTTTTTGTTTCATTTTGTGGGAATGAACTAAGAGGGAGACTCAGTAACTGCTTAGAATAAGTAAAGCTTCGAAGTAGTTCAGAAGTACTAGTCTAAAAATATCGTTTTGAATATATGAATACTTGAAACTATTAAGGGTCGACCAGGTCACTTAGGCAGTTCCTTTAACGTATTAAAAGTAGGGCGGTATTATTTCCTTAGGTTGCTGTAGTAGTCATGTCTGTTGCGTAGTCCAAGAACAAGATTCACTTGATATTAAATCATATGCGGTCATGTGATTTTTCCGTATTTTCACAGCCTTTCCAGTTTTTTGTCCATCACTTGCGTGAATATAACCGTACCCTCCCCGAGGTTCGTACGATTTCGCATGGTGCTGCACGCGACTGATAAGTTTGTTTGAGAGCGTGTACCCCACATGGAATTTGTATCTTATGATGAGAATGACATCTTTTTTTCATTTACAACGCCTTTGGATGCTAGATACCCCAGACGGGTGATTCTGTTAATGTTCGGAGCTGCCTAGTAGGTTTTTCTTGAGCTCTTTTAGAATCGAGGAGAAAGGCTACATATAGATCCGATAAAGTTGATCAATCTACTCTAGAGGGTGCAAGCGAGGAAAGGAAATCACTGAAAGTAAGAAGGAAATATAAAAATCATTGAATGACTATGACTTTGATACTTGGGTTTGTTTGGAAATAGCAGCAAGTTAAAGTTAACAGTAGTTGTGAGAGATTCGCTTTGTCAAGTTCTGAGGCACATCGGTAGGGTTGCTATTCGTATGTATCTGACAATGTTGGAAACTAGTAAAAATACTGTGTGTGTCGGAAATAGCGGACGAGCTCTCTGAGAGATTTTCTTTAGATCGTTCCTTCATTGGTGCCCATGCTAGGCCATTCCGACGCCAAAGTACAGACTGCAGCTTTGCGAGCTGTTGGCAATATCGTAACGGGATCTGATGAGCAGACACAGCTTGTACTTGACTGCGGCGTACTGCAGGAAATGCCACAACTCCTTTCACATCAAAAAGAGAAAATCAACAAGGTATGCATCTGTTGAAAACAGAGATTTTTGAATTCACAAAGAAAATGTTTTCTATACAGGAAGCTGTTTGGTTCTTGTCAAATATCACCGCTGGTAACCAGAATCAGGTACAGGCAGTGCTCGATGCCGGTCTAATGCCTCTGATCATTAATTTGCTCGGAAAAGCTGATTTCCCGACACAGAAGGTATGTGTCTCCAAATTGCACTCTTCAGCTTATGCTTACCGAGAACTCTTTCAAATTAATCTAGTGAGATTTTTTTTACTTCACATGGGGTGATTATGATATCAGATATCAGCTGATAAGCTATGATTATTATTCCATTCATAGGAAGCTGCATGGGCCGTATCGAATGTAACAATTTCTGGCCGTCCAGATCAAGTAGAACAGATGGTGAACTGTGGCGTGATTCGCCCATTTTGCGCTCTTCTTGACTGCAAGGAGCCTCAGATAATCCAGGTGCCGAATTCTTCATTTAATTTCTCTCGGCATTTACTTACCTTGTCAAGGAGCAAGTTGGTAAACTTTCCTATTTGCTTACATGGTATTTTTGGGCATCTACTGCGCTCAAAATGAAATTCATTTTTTTGGGAAGCATTATCATCGTAGGGTTTCCTGGACCATTTTTTAGCACTGATCCCTATGCCCATCGGGTGCCTTATGACTCAAGAATGCTGCTTGGTTCCGTTGAATTGTTCAGAATCGGTACTACAACTCTACTTGTTTTTTAGGTTGTTCTCGATGGTATTAATAATATTCTTAAAATGGCTGGTGCAGGTGTTGAAGGAATATGCACACAGATTGAAGAGTGCGGAGGTAGGTTAAGTTTTAAATTTCAGATCGTTTCGCTCTCCTATCTCAGTGGCTGATATTGAAAATGGCTAATTTCAGGCTTGGATAAGATTGAACAGCTACAGAATCACGATAATGAAGAGATCTACAAGCTCACCTACGAGATTATTGACACATATTTCAAGTCGGTCTTTTTTCACTATCGCTTGATCTTTTGCTTTTTTTCTGTTTGTTTACTTGAAAGTGCTTACGATCTGTGTTTCAGTTCGAATAGTGACGATGAGATTGCGACCGGACAGGAAGGGGGTGTTGTGCAACAACCCGCGAAAGGATGGTCGTTTAACTGAGGAAGTTCCGTCTTGGACCCAGTGTGAATGCCATTCCCCTATATGTCCCTCAGGCATGGTTTCTGCTGATAGGAGAACCACTCATCGTACAGAAACCACGCAATCCCTGTAACGAGGACCCGATTGTTGGAGAAAAATGCGAAAACAATCGGCTTTTCGTGTAGAAAAGATGGCCCATTTGACCCCGGGATATTGTGAGAAGGCACTGAGAGGAAGAATGAGCTGCAATTTTCCAATCTACTTTTTTTTCGTTGAGCTAAGAAGTAGTTATTTATAATCACATTGTAGATTTATCTCTTTACAATTATAATCTATTTAGTAGCTAGTGTTTCTGTGATATGTCATTCTGTCATAAGAGAAGTCACGTTGCATGGGTTCTTCTTCTGCGTTGATTTCTTCAAGAATTGTGTCACACTGAACTTGACGAATTTAATTGTTCGTATACGGGAGGTGACATGGTTTTTGTATTGGAACGGCTGCGAAATCCAACGACCGTCTTCGTAGTAATCGTTGCTTCCAGAAACAGTGCGTGTGCAAGCGGTGATAAAAGTTATGTGAGTATTGTGCCCCATCTCGTCGACGGGTTTGAGAGCTTTTGATTGCCAAAAAATTGCGCGAATTCGCCTCTTGTTGTAAAATACAAAGTTTATACATGGTAAAGCATGTTTACTACATGTTTCGTTCTTGTGCGCGCGAAAATTGTTCATAGTTGCTCTCAAAAGCGGACGAGTTCGCCGTTTCGTTGTTATTCCCCTGTGAGGAAAGCGTACAGAGTTGTTATTTCGAGTTTGTTACTGTTATTAATTGGTATTTTTTTGAGTAGTGTGCTCAATTGTTCAGCGATTTCTTATCTTTTAGACAATATGCGTGTATGATTTTCAGGATGTGACATGTTCGCGTGTATGGGTGTGCGTGTACGTGTGAATGTTTACCTACTCATTTGATCCCGCCCCGACCCACCCGATCCCATCCCGTTTTCCGTTTCTAGTACATACATGGCATTAGTTGTATCTGTGAGTTGTTTGTTACATCTTATTGTGAGCCATGAGTCATATTATACTTGCTTGTGAGCCGGTTGTCTCTAACTTTTTTCGAGGCAGATAAATTGTGAACAAGATGAACGTTAATGTATGTACATTGAAGGCGTGAAAATAAAAAGAAGAGGTGTCCAGGTGTCTGGTCGACAGCTGGGTTAAGCTTCAGGTGAGTTAGATTGATGAGTGCTCGGAAAGGGACCAATCCTGCTCTGGAACAAGGGTCATCGTTATTCGGGTGCTAGCGAAAAACCCTGGCATGTCAAATATGGGGTCAGACTGAGTCTCCCCTTCGTCTTTTTTTCAAATTTTTATTTTTCTTTACTTCTGCATAAGCGTTTTGGAAGAAACTAATTGTAAGCTCTTTGGATAGTTCTTTTGTTTGGTTGGCCTCCGGTTGCAGATGTATCGTGAAGCCTCATTACTTGTCACTCGAATAATTTCTTTGATGCTACCAATCGAAAGTTTCAAAAATCTTCCTGAAACGTTACTGGGAACTAAGGTGTTCAGAGGTGGTGGAATGTTCCCCGCACTTCCTTTCTGTTAGGAAAAATAGGAAGGAAACAAAGTTTAGTAGCCCTAAAAGCCAACGTTTCTGGGTGGAAGTGCTCATAGATCAGTGCGTGAGAAAGCGTTTGCTAAATCTAAATGGAAATACGATACTGAAGGAACGGAGTAGAAAAACAATGGAATTGACTGGATCTAGTCTTTGATCTTGAGCAGGTGGTTTCAAGAGCAGCATGGATTCATTTCTTTACCTGACCGGTATAGCAGCCGTGCAACCGATCCTTGAAAGGGCTAACATCTGTGTGTTTACACTCGTTTTTCTCCTCAACGGCTATTACACCGGAGAATAGCAGGAAGCTGGAGCATAAAAACATAAGATTTAACTTAAGATTTAACTTTTGTGCTGAGTTAAGTAAATTTGATTACTCCGTAGTAGCTCCGTAAAGTCACAGTTCAGGATGAAAATTGTTTCTGAACTCTCCTCTAGGATGAATAGAGGGCCCCCAAGTTTGTCATATGGTGCACTGACTGGCAAAAAACGGCATGGAGGAGGTGCAATGAAGGTTCAACGGCATTCACGCCCAGAAATGGCCGTGTTTTGATAGCCTTAAATGGGCTGCGCTATTCATAATGGTACACATAAGATGAAAATTCGAATAGCTGATCGTCTTGAGCCTTGACCTTAGCGATAGTGGAAAGCTTTACTTTAGGCATTACCTGCTTACTGTAACCAGTTTCTTGTGCAATTGTATACGCATCTCTGCGCTACGATTGAATTTCAGACCTAACTTCCCTTTCTTACTATTTTCGTCAGGGTAATACAGTGAAACCCTATTTCTACTACTTTCAAATTTTTTTTTGCTAATTGCCGAGATTTGTCGAATTTTCTCAATTTCTTTGTCATCTCCAGCAATTCCTCCTTCATGAGAAACCACATCAGGATTGAATTCTCACACAATACATATTGCATTACATACCGTCTCAATTTTTTTGGTAGGCTTGATGATAGCAATGATGGCTTCTTCTGACCACGGGGACTTTTGGTAAACAAGGAGAATGAAAAAAAAAGAGTTTTGCTTCTCGTGGACACACTCTGCCTTGCTATATGTGGCCCAAATTCTAGCTTTTATCGCGTTTTAAAGTTAAAAATTGGGTATGGTATTGGCTGACGCACTTACCACCTACAGAATGGTACCAGACTTGGCGTGCGCCATCAACATTTTTTCCATTGAATTCCCACCACCCAGTGTATAGTGCAAGCGTAGCCACGCGTCCACGCTTCTAGGCGCGGCGATACAGTATTCAACTTAGACGTCAAATAAAATGCTCTGCTAGTAAGAGCGCGCATATTCTATCATATCTTACGCAGAACATTTCAAATGATGTCCTGCATTAATAGCCTTTCTTTTTCTATCATTTTTCCTGCGTTTCTTTATAAGGACTTTAACATATGTCGTGAAGATTTTGTGCAAATCCGGCTACACCAACTGGTAATGATCTGTCGGGTAGGGAGCCTGAATGAAGGGTGAAAATTGTAAATTTTCAGAAGAGCGGCAGTCTCGTGTGGCGGTATTGCTACCCGAATTCACATCGCAATAGGCAATTATTTTGAGGCGATTACCGTATTCGCAGTGGAAATTCAAATGTTTCCCTTAGCGCGCGATCGCGCGCCATCTGGTGGGGCACACCATTCGTTTAAAAGAACTCACACTTNGCAGTCTAGGTTGTGTGGGCGGGGTCTGTTTTAGTAAAATTTCTTTTTTCATGATTATTCTGATGTTGGAATGAATACTCACGAGCTGTTTCCGAGTACGTAGCATTGATAAACATATGATTTCCTTTATAATATTAATCGTGAACGTTCTTTCCAGTATCTGACATGAGCTGGCCTGTATGCACGTCACGCTTCTTAAAATGATGAAAAAGAAATCTCGGTTAATCGGATGAATCTCGTCCAGGAACAGCTAGACAGAGCGGATAGAGAGGCTTGACATTGAACTTTTCGTCCAGGTATGCTTTTATTTATCTCTATATATAAAGTTTTTTGGACGATTTAGAACAAAGATCAAAAGGGCCGAGATTGAATGATATTATGGGATGCGCCATGCTGATCAATATGTCTGTGATTGATGAGCGCAATATTTTCATAAAAATCTTGATTTTTTCCCCTTCAAAAACCCCAAGCGCCAAGTCTTCAAGGAGCGTTGAAATAGTGCAGCTCCAATTGCTTGGCTGGAATTGTTTATCAACTCTAGTGGGCCGGAATCCATTTGATTGAATTTGGCTTCACAACCAAATTCAAAGTGCATTTGAAAATGTGGTCAAAGGACGAATGTAGGGCAAATAGGCCACGGTCGGTTGTCATTAATCTTGGCATTACTGCAGTTATCTTAAATGATTTAGTTGTAATCCATCTCTGAAGCTCAGTCAAAAATTACTGAAATAGATCGTGATACTTTATTCATCATCCAAATCGGAAATCGATGATCGAAAAAAAGTTGACCTCAACGAACTCTGATTGGTGAGTGCACGATGATCAAAAATCACAGAATTTACCCTACTCCGGCAGTTTTTCCTCTCCCGATTCAGTCACCCAAAGCTTTTTGGCCCATTCATACAATGACTGATGGCGGCTGACTGGCCATTTATCGCCTCATTCATCATCCAGCTTTACTCACTCGCTCGCGCTACTTTTACTGCCCGCTCGGGAGCGTCCCCACTCAAGTGAATAGTTCAAAGAATATATAAGTTGTATATGAATTCTAATGATTTAGTGCCAGCTTTCCGCTCACATTACATTCAGCCAGGACTCGATTGATTAGCTTGAGCATCCCTCCGCTAGACGTGAAAAAAACCTCGTCTCATTTGCTGCACGTATGCATGCAGGGAAATGTACCACAGGAATTTATTATTATTATTTTTATGTTTTGCATGCTTGGAATCATTTAAGAAAATATCCTTTCGATCACGTTGTAACAGCGCTTCGTATTGAAAATCTACTGCCTAGTGATTCATAAGTTGTTTACGAGTAAATGTAGTGCCATCGAGTTCTCGCCAGCGAGGATTTGTTCACATGGGAGAAGTGGGTTGTATTTGCCAAGGCGGAGAGAGGGGGCAAAGAGTCCGGTTGAACTGCAACTTGCTAAATTTCAGAGATTTTTGTATTTTAGCGTTCATTTATATGAAAAACCCTTTGAAGTGCATGTTAAAGGAAAATTCGAGATGGGCTAGGGGTCGATTTATCGGAGTTATTTTCGACGACGGCTTTCTTGATCCTAACTCAGATTTACTCAGATTACTAATACCAGGTGGGTTACTGAGGAAGGGCTGTCTACACTATCATCGGAACAGGTGTGAAAGTTAGAACTTTTCGAACAATCTCAATGGTGTTTTAGGGAGAACACGGAATTTAAGGTTTTTGGTTGATTGTTAGTGGTTGGTTGATGGTTAGTTGGTTGA